AAAAAATTACCCTCAATCCTTCTAGTAAAGGATGTGCTTTGAATGCAAGGCAAGTTTCCTTTTCATACATAATAAATTACTTATCAAATTCTCTAGTTATGTCTTTTAGTGTCCGCTCTCCTTAAAATATAAAGACAATTCAAGCCAGACGAAGCAGACCTAAAACACGGTTTTATAATTACTGGAAATACTTTTAAAAATCAGAACAGTTTATAGAAGTATCTTTTATTGCAATAGGTCATGGAGCATTCAAAAATACAAAGAGTTTGCCATAAAACTTTTCGGCAGATGTAGACTGCGTTGTGCAAGAAGAAAGGGGTTCGTGGAAAATAAATAAATGTTTATCCTCCGCAAAACATAACTATGAGGTCTACGGAGATCCCAGTAGTCGGAACTAAGGCAGAAAGTAGAGCCATAGGGGAAGGCTAGCACATACATTGCGGGTCGAGGGAAGAGAACACGGAGTTTGAGGATGGCGGGACCATTTCACTGTAGGGTGGAAAGCAAGTGTGGGACGCAGAAACGAAGACGATTAAGGATGGAGACGTGCAGGCACTACGAAGGGATCATCAAAATGTGAAAGGGTCCTTTTAGGAAGACGGAAATATGGTTACATATGAGAATCCTTAAGGAGTCTTGCAGGTTGGAGGCTGTTATCACGATATAGAGATCACAAAATCAGTTTAGGACCGCCACCAAAGTAAGACTTAAAGATAGAGGCAAAGTGCCACCTCTGCGTAGGGGACGAGGTGGCCGAGTGGTTAAGGCGATGGACTGCTAATCCATTGTGCTCTGCACGCGTGGGTTCGAATCCCACCCTCGTCGTCGGTCTTGAATAGGCCTCAATATTATGCTTTTCCAAATCTTAAAAACTCTTCCAATCCTTCAGTAACTCCGCTAAATTATGTACTCTTGCTCCCAGCACACAAACTGCAAGCATTTCCTGCCGTAGTAGTGTATATACCTCATCTCCCCTTCAAGTCGCTTTGGCCTGTGGTTTGTACCTCAGAAGACCACCTCTACACAGTTGGTGGGAGATTGCATCGTGCCCTTCATCTCCTTAGCCTTCGATGTCACAGTGAAGCGTTTTGGAATCACCTGGTTTTTTTCCATGTTTTCTTCCCAATGCCCATGACTGGGTATTAACCACAGAAATGACACAGATGAAACATGGCAGCTTCTTTAAAGTACTTCATAGGAGCTTCGATACCCCTTATTTTCAAAGTCCTACTAAACGTCTCTTTTTAAACTTTATGCTCAGAAGTAATTTCAGATTTACGGAAGATGTAAAAATAAGAATGGTAAGAAAGCCACACATACTTTTACTAGAGTTTACTTATTTCCTCTCTCTCCCCTGTCCTTTAGCACAAACTTCATTATTATCATACATGAACAAAATGGTTGTAGTGATATATCACAACCATGATGGAACAGATTTACGAAGAACAGAAAGGGAACAGCACCGAAGAGTATTTCCATCCTTAGGACTCCATGTCTGTCTCCCCCAGTAACCATGGCTGGCTCTGATCACCGCAGTCCGGTCAGTCAATATGCAAGCAGAGTTTTTCCCTCTGCGATGAATAAGCAGCCTAGGGGAAGACACCAAAATGTTTTCCATGAAGTTTTCTGCTCTTATTTAGCATCTGCTGATAACCCCCCTGGACTGTATTTACTGTGAGTGACAATTGCTGGATTCCAGCATCCTCCCACGCTGACCAGTCTGCACTTGGCCTCCCATTAGAAGCAAGAGGCCTGCTTTTGTTTGTTTGTTTGTTTGTTTTTGTTTTTTTCGAGACAGGGTTTCTCTGTGTAGTTTTGGTGCCTGTCCTGGATCTCGCTCTGTACACCAGGCTGGCCTCCTGAGTGCTGGAATTAAAGGTGTGCGCCACCACCGCCCGGCCAAAGAGGCACCTTTCTTAATGTATGTACTTGTGTGCATTATCAAAAAAAAAAAAAAAAAAAAAAAA